TTCAACCACGCTTGGTGTTTGATATATTGCCCTAATTGGCCATTGTTTCTCAAAGTCTCTTATCGACGACGTAGCTAGCTTGTAAAATTTTTTCGATGTACTTGAGGATGGCATAGGAAGAAGCTTGGTAGATGCCGTCATAATTTCAACCATAAGAACAAAGACTTGTGGTGTCTTGCCTTGGTACCTATTGGCTGATCCATTGAAGTTTATCGCTTTCCTGGAAACGTAAGGGCATGCATGCACCATGTGTAGTGTTTGCACGTCTATTTAGTTACCTATAACAAAGTTTGTGCCTGTGTTGTAGAGCACTGCTAGTTTGGTAAAATGGGTTCTGCATGGTGTCACAAACCAAATCTTAAGGGCAATCACTATATCCTAAAGGATCGCTATTAGATTTTCTTGCTGGAGCAATTCATCTACATGGCCTTGGAAGATGAATTAAAGAATTAGCCAGCCAGCTACTGGTACCAAGTTATTTACTATTTGGGAAAGGAAATGCTTGACAACAACTGCAATGAAAAGGCTGTAGGAGATAGCTATAGATTGAGACTTTACCCTCCTAGTTCTTTCTAGTAGTTTACAACCCTTCTTATTTCTTGATATCATCTACCTTTTGCTGCATCATTTTATTTTTCTAGATCAATTAATGCCACTGTATATGTGTACAATTACATACACATGACTGATGAATCACATACCTCGTCTTAATCTTGACATAGGTGCTCTTTCTACCCTTTGCCTTAATGTGCTGATAAAAAATATATCTATGATAGCTATATACTACAATATAATTCATTATTTGTATTTCTTATTTTTTATGACAGGATATGTCGGTTGCTTGTGATCTTGATGATGATGTCGATGATTGCAGTCATGAGAGTAATACAAGGATACATAAGAGATCCCATTCGGCAGTTTGGCCTCATTTTCATAGGTTAGAGCCTGATGAGCATGGTAGACGGAAAGCTATATGCAAAACATGTGGTAAGAAGTACTTAGCAGATAATGTGAGTGGCGCATCTAATTTATTACGCCATTTGGCAAGTCATGCTCATAATGAGAAGCGGCCTACTGGATTAGCCACGGTTGATCATGAGATATATCGTGATAAGGTGGCTATTGCAATTGTTAAACATGACTACCCCTTCCAATTTGTCGAACACATTGGAATTAGAGAGTTGCATTTATTTTTAAATTATTCTGTGAAAAGCATTTCGCGTAATACAGCTAAATATGATGTGTTAAAGATTTATAGAAGAGAAAAAGAAAAGGTCAAAAAAGAGCTTGAACTTGTACAAGGCCGAATTTGTTTGACATCTGACCTTTGGTCTTCTATCACAAGTGATGGATACATGTTACTTACAGTACACTATGTTGACCAGAATTGGAATTTACAAAAGAGAATAGTTGTGTTTCGTTATGTACCTTCTCCTCATAATGGTCCAAATTTATCTGAAAAGCTGATTAATTTCTAAAAGAATGGAGAATTGATAAAAAGATTTTCACCATCACTCTAGATAATGCAAAATACAATGATAGAGTGACTAGATTATTGCAAAATTATTTTCTATTTAATGGTTCCTCCATTTGTGGAAGTGAATTTCTTCATGTTCATTGTGGTGCACGTGTATTGAATTCAATTGTAAAGGCTGGATTGGAAGTGATTAATGAAACAATATATAAAATTAGGGAAAGTGTAAAGTATGTGAAAGGATCTGAAAGTAGGGTTATAAAGTTTGTCGAATTGGTGAAACAACTGTCATTGGAGACAAATAAAAAATTACGACAGGATATAGTAACTAGATAGAATTCTACCTATCTGATGCTTGAGAGGGCCTTACTTTTTAGGCATGTATTTTCTCGACTTCAAGATGTGGATGATGACTACAAGTTGTGTCCTTCAGAAGAGGAATGGCATAGGGTCGGAAAGATTGCAAATTTTTTGAGGCGTTTCTATGATATGATATTATTGTTCTCGGGAAGTAAATACCCCACAACTAATTTATACTTTCCCAATGTTTGGAAGATTCAATGTCTCTTAAATAAAGAAGTCAACAGCCCAGATGTTTTGATTAGTGAAATGGCTTCTAATGTGAAAATCAAATTTCAAAAGTATTGGGACTGCTATAGCGTTATCTTATCATTTGCTATTATTTTGGGTCCTCGTTACAAACTCCAATTTGTGGAATATTGCTTTTTTGTGTTGGATGCTCAATCACAGGATGAAAAGGTTCTTAATATTAAACAAAAGTTGTTTCGTTTGTTCGAAGAGTACTCTAAGAACAATGCTGCTATCACTACTGCACCACTGGAGAGTACTTTTAATAATGATGATGGACAAACTAGAGATCTTATGGATGTGAGTAAAATCGATTCATATGTTTTTGTATTTTGTTTCAGTTTATATAACTTTAAACGTTCAATATTTATGATATTTGCAGGGTTTTGACATGTACCAATCTCAACAAGGGGCTAATGGTAACAAATCTGAGTTGGAGTTGTATCTTGAGGAGCGACTAGTAGATCGTAAACAACAACCAGATTTAAATGTTTTGGCTTATTGGAAGGAGAGTAGAATTAGATATCCTGAGCTCTCACTTATGGCTCGAGATATCTTAAGTATTCCTATTACTATTGTAGCATCTGAGTCTGCTTTTAGTCATGGTGGGAGAATTCTTGAAAAATTTCAAACTTCTATGTTGCCGATAATGTGGAGGCACTACTATGTTCTCGAGATTGGTTGTATAATAGTGAAGGTAAATTAGATAATTAGTTGCATTGGCTATTAATTTTCAATAGCTTAGGATCTCTTTAATTATTTTCTTTATTGGTTGATTAAATCTACAAAATTTTCAGAGAGTGTTGATAAAGATTTTGAAGTTGAGCAAGAAGACGAGGAGCAAGATCTTGGAATTGATATTAGTAGATTTATTGCTGAACAAGATGCATCTTCAAATGTTGATACTTAGTAAGTATATCATGTGAACTCGATATTTTAGAATACTTTTTATTGCTTTAGTCAAAGGATTGTTGATGCCTAGCTTTAGTTGCATCCTTTGAGATTGATGGTAATTGAAAATGCGATTATTGTTTAGTACCAGTTGCTAAACAATGTGCGATAGCAACATCCTGTGCTTTCATGTGTATTGGTCATATTTTAAGAATATCTATTGACTAAGTTCCTGATGATGATGACTTCCATTTGACAGAGATGTAAAACTTGTTCTTATATTATTGTCTTCTCTAGTTTGTGCAAGGCTGATGGCCAGCCGTAAAGGTGGCATCTATAGCTCCAAGAACACTTTGTATAGCAAGGGCAGAGGCGCAGAGCATAAGGGGAGGCTGGAAAATGGTCTACAAAATATTTTCCCGTGCAACAAAAAATTATTAAAGCTTATTACATGGCTGCTTTATGCATAGTTACTGGCTGACCATGCATTACACAGTTCTCGTGATCCAAGTCTTATTGTAGTACTAAGTACTTTATATCCTAAGTTTTCAGCAACACACCTGCAATACATATGTATCCAAGGAACTGAAAATTGGAAAACTCTAGTCTAATGAATTACTTTATTGAAAATGGTTACCATACGTTTAGGTGTAGTGGCAGGAGACAACATTAACTAGCACAATTTCTCAATTTGCAAATTCGGAAGTTATCTTTTAGGATGCCACATGATTCATTTTGTGTTTATTTCTAATTTCTAATTTATCCATTTTACAACGGCTCAGATGTGTTATCATGCATGATTCTTTTGTGTTTATTTTTTGGGTCAAAATTTCAGTTTATAACTTTCTTTAAAGTGTGATTGGGTCCAAGTAGTTTAAACAGTTAGTATGTGTGTGTATTTGTGAAAGTATATTACTGTGTATTTTAGTGTGTTTGTATATGTAAAAATAACGTATTTCAAAAGAACTTAAAAAGTGAGTGTGTGTTTGTATCTATGAGTGTTTTAGTGTGAAAATTTATCTATCTATGTGAAAATGTATTTATATGTGTGAATTTTTTTTGTATGTGAAAATATATTTGAGAGAGTTTATGTATCAAAACCTATTATTTAATATATTGGGGTCATATTTGGGTCATGGGTTTGAGATAATCCAATATGATCCCACCCAAAATTAACTCAATCTAAAGTTGGGTGGGTTGGGTGTAACCCATTTAAATGAAAATCCAATATCAACCCGCCCAATCCGCCCGATTGCCAGGTATAGTTGGAGGACTTAATTGACTGGATCAATTTCATTTAGTAAAAAAATTGAAGGACTAATTAGCTTGCCCCTAATCACACAATAATGCCAATTTTTCAAGTTGATTTCGCCACCCTAAAGTGTCTTGGACAAGGTACAAAATTGGTAAATCTAAACTGCTAAGTCTTGGTCCAGTGGCTACCAGGGTAACTTAAGTTTCTTCGTGAGGTGTTGGTTAGGGTTCAAACCTTGCCAACTCGCCAAATAGGAGCAACAGGTAGGGAAGCAGGCACACCACAGGATCAGCAGCAGGAGACGTCCCCCTTCCCTCCACCATCCTCTTCCCCAAGACCCCTCCTTGTAATAGAATGGGATTTAAAAAAAATTGATAAATCTAGAGTCTTGACGATTATTAATATCAATCATACGAGAAAATCAAACACCAAAACAATAATCAATGACACTCAAAAGTAACAAACCGAATTATTTGCAAACATGGCTAATTCGAGCTCAAAAGATGCTTGTTCATTTCTTGAATGGATAGACCTCAAATACTAGATAAAAATAGTTCACTAAATAAGACAAGCACGAATTGCGTGCACGTTTTGTAACAGTTTAGCCTACTAAATCTTGGGGATTTAGTATAATTATTCGGGTTATAATGAATTTATTGATATTAATTTCATGATCCACATTAAGTTTAATAAACAAATCTTCGACATGCACCTTAGGATTAACGAGCAGACATAAAATTGAAATCTTCATATGAATCGAAGTTAGTAACAATCTGTGCTCGTTTTGCAACATGCTTTAACCGTATTTGTATAAGCTTGAAATCAAATATTGAAAGGCAATAAACAGGTCGAGACACTAAGACTGCAAATGCCTATGGCAAGTACTGTCTATTTGCAAGTCTCTCCACTTTTAAATGATATATTAAGCATTTTATCTGTGTCGCATGAGTTTGAAATGGAGAGATCTCACTGCATACTTTCTGGCTCTATTGCATTGGCAGATGCTAAGTACCTCTACCTGCGTCAACATTGACTACATTTGCAAATTCCATTCTTTAGAGGAAGCTTGGACATGGCGAAATTACCTCCCTATTTAACCAAATTACATATGAAAAGGGTAGATAACTCTATACAAACAAAATAAATACAAGCACAGCCTAAATTAGTCGATAACCCAACATAACTTCATCTTTCGCCTAACAGTGACTCAATTAGAGCAGTCTCTTCTTCCTGCATGTACAATTGCAGACATTCAAACAAAAATTCCAGCTGCATTCAATTCAAAGATGTTTTATTTGCCTTAGCAACTACGTACCACCAAAGCATTGAATTCAGTTTCCTCGTCTATGGCACTTATAGTGGCAGGGTCCTCCAAGAGTTCCTGATCCAATGATTCACAAGAAACAATGCGTCATTCAAGTAAAAATAACGAGTAATCGTAGATATAAACTGTTACAAGAATACAATGCATGCAAGAAATTAATTAGCTTTAATCAAACCATTGAGAGGCAGAATCAGTAAATGTGCAGACATGCATAACCAGACACTAAGTGAACTAAGAATCAAGTTACAAATTCCTTGCATATCCATCAACAACTCATAATGCTAAACATGCATAAACCAGCATATGATATCTAAAATGAACATTAACACATATATTTCTTGGTGCTGCATCAGAGAGCAGGCTATAGTGGAATTATTTGCATCACTCATATATTGCTCGGGTAAGCACTCTTCAATAATGATTAATTCTTCACCGAATTATCAGTTGAATGATATGCTTGCAAATTTAGAGAATGGTTACTTACATCTTCAGCAATTTGTAAGATGCCATTCGCATCCTGCATTGAGAAAACAATATCAATTTCAAAAGGCTAAAAGGAAAGAGATCACATGAATTGTCATGTCAATCTGGATAAAGTAGGTTTCATAAAGTAGCCCATCCCATTACTAATGATACAATATCTATCAGTTTACAGGCATCCCCCAAAAATTAAGGTTACGATTTTCCTTTCAACATCAAAATTTAACTATTTTTTATCTTGATCCTAAAGGTGAATAGTCAATTCAAGATGAATTTTTGTTACCCAGTAACAATAGCCCAATTTCGCCAACCTAATTGGTAGGAAATTCCATTCAGACATCTCAACCAAAGAAGCATATGGAATTTCCCTTTAGAAGTCAGGATCAAAGAAGTAAATGAAGACATCACTAACTTACACAACAGCTCCAGCCTGTCCTTAGCATCTTACTGCTAACTAGCTTAAATTCTATGTCCAAGTTTCTTATGCATGTTGGTAATTCAAAAAATGTGTACCTCCTATAGTCTCATAAAAACTGTTTACCTAACTCTGTTTAGAACCACAAGGTAAATTCAAAGCTGTACTTTGAAAAGCACTCTGGAGAAAAGGTTACCTATCCACTGATACAAATATAGTACATGCCTCCAGAAAACTTACAAAAAACAATTTTATCTACTATAATAATTTTTCAAATAAAGAACGTTAGCATTTGTTTTCCCAATGAACTCCTCCTACTTCTCATGGTTTGGATAAGAGTAATTTGTCTCAAATGATACGGCAACAACCATTGTGTAGTAATCTAATATGATTTGAGTCCAAAATGTAGCTTCTAAAACCACATGGAACATTACAGTATAACATTAATATAGGGTGGTGCTATTGGTAATGTAGCCATAAAATGAACATTTTGTCCTAATCACCCTTACATTGTGAATATATGGGTAACAAAGACTAGGAGACTATCACATCAAATTAGATGGAAAAATATTATGGACTTTAAACATTAAAGTAGAAGACTTGACATAAACTTTGTACTAAAGAGGAGCTTTTCTTCACCTTCACAGCAACAAAGAGAAGTGGATCAGATGGCGTGTAAATCATGTAGTGTGAACCATCCTGTACGAAGTAGAAACCATAACCATAAGATAATGATAAATAATAGAGCCTGTAGCTATTCACCATAGAAATCAAAAGACTTTCCTATGGGGTTTAGAACTTCTTTGCCTATTAAAACACTAGAAACCAAAGCCTACATATGAATCTCCAACAATCAAATGCCAACAAACATTATTAGGTGGAGGTGGTTAAGGTCTTCTGTGTACACAGAATCACCAAATTAACAATCATTTAAGCATTACAAGTATGTATATAAAACCCAATAAACTAGGCAAGCAAAAGTTCATTTGTCAGAAATCAGCAACAAGGACCAACCCATGCCCTACGGCCAGATCTCCCTCTCACTGCATTAAGTCTCTATCATGACCTTCACTACTATTTGTTGCATTCATTGAAAAACATAATCAATAACATAGCCAAAGAGTAAGATTAAACTGAATTGCATTAGTAAGACCATACCAAATGGAAGCATGTAATTTCTATGCCTTCTGTTGGCAAGCCATCTACATCTTGACCATCATCTGCATAAATTCAAATTTCCTTGTTTAGAAACCTGAACATCTGCCTGCATACCAACTCAATCAGATACTGACACAATTTAAAACAATCTTGTAAAATAACAATATGAACCAGCTGTTCAGCATTTTACTATGCCATACAGCCTATACCAATTTGTCAGCTCATCCACGAAGAAACAAAGTATACCCTAGGATATACCATCACATTTTACTAGGTTCATTACAGTATTAATCCATTTATCTTGATTTTTATTTTGTTTCCCCAGGAATGAGTATCAAATCTACTACAGCAGAGACAGCAGAAGTTGAAAATCATTCTTCCAAATCATAAATTTAATAAAACAGAAATGCTCCATAGAGTTGCCCTTTCTTCCAAAGGAATATTACACTGCAAAATTTCCACGTAGTTTTGAGTAATTTATATGGTGCCCATAGGCCAAAACTTTGAACTATTACTTCCATTCACAATGTCGCTGGGTCAGACAAATTTCTGCAACCCTCCCAATTTGTTCAACCATAGCAACTAATGCTTCTAACTGCCAAGTTCTAGTTATTGCCCACAGTGGTCCCCTTTTCATTTGAAGAGTCATCAGCTATCACTTGGTAAAGATACAGATCCCATGGTTTTCAAATGGCAATCAAGTTATCTTCTCTTCATTCTTTTGTCCCCACACTTAAACAGATTGCTCTGAAGACAGGGAACTGTCTGAAAATGCAGGAAGTAAGAAAAGCATCTGTGATCTTTAATGAGTCCAGTACAGTTGAAGTTCTCATAAGTTCATGCTGGCTTCCATTAAACCAAGTACATTCCGGTACGCCAACCCAACACCTTAATCCTTCAACAGCTGCAATTTTCTGGTCATTTCTGCCATTTGGTCCTAGCTCTTCATTTGATGGCAATATCTTCCCAACTCTGCCATTTGACCAATTCCCAATCTCAGCTAGTCTTCTCAGAAGCTCCCAGAAATAATGTCTCAAGGTGGTCATAATCCAAAAAAGCCTGATCAATCTCCATGTAATCCTCCCTGGCGTGACTGAGACTTCACAGTCAGCAGCCCATGGTAGAGCCAAAGACCATACCAGGTCTGCTTTATCCTCGAATATATTCAAGTGCCTACATTTTTTTTCACACTACAGTCATGGAATAAGAATACAATGTTGGAGACCTTCATGGATAATGCCATTCATCTTCATGTGCATGCATACAGACCATCCTCCAATCCACAAAATGCTAGATTGCGGCTAACAAGGCTACAGTACAGCTTATGCTGACAGAAAAAGGATCATCACCAGCAGCTTCTCTTATCCAAGATGTATCAACCCAATAGATCTTGATTTTCCACCAGCAATCCCATCCCTGTCCTTCCATACATTCCTGTCTCCATTTCCAGAACCTTGTTCTCCGACTCATCTACACCCTGGACAGAATTCTGTGCACATGATTCTGTATTTCATCTTTTACAGACACTGCCTTTCATTAGACAAAACAAGAGACTAATCTCCTATTAATAACACTTTTGACAGGACAAAGAATCACCATCACAGAGGTAAAAAATGCCTCGATGCCAATAAAGCTGACATATTGCTTGGAAAAAGACCTGCGCTCTGAATCAGCTTTTGTAGTGATAATACCCAAACAACATAAATTCCAACCAGCGAAAGGCCATTCACCTTTGTACAACAAGATATATAAGATGAGTTAAAGACAAAGAGTATCACCTGTGCGAAATTCAAATATGTCATCCTCTGTGTAACAAAATCCTCCACGTGCTGTATAACAAAACCTGGTGGCAAGACAAAGAAAAAACTAAACTAGACAGCAATATTACAATTCAAACTCATAACACAAAAGACTAAGACAACAAAGTGAAACTTGAAAAATCATGACATTCCATCACCATACCCACTATACACCAGATGCATGTGTATCTTGGCAAGGGCATAAGCTGCAGTTGGAAGAATGGCTTCAACTTCTTCATCACTGACCTACAATCCAGGGGCCATGGAAATGAAATCAGGTGATACTAGAAGGTATCAGAACACTGAAAGAAGCTGCAAAGATACACTGGAAGTCACATAACATTGATTAGCATTACTAATGGCATTATTAAAATAACCAGCAAGTCATTTGACTGCTTGTCAAATGCTAAGAAAATCTAACATTCTCACAAGGGAAAGAATTGTGGAGGAATAATCTGAGAAAAATCAATGGCATAAAGCAAATAAGATACAGGCTAACTAAAACAGATATATACACCCGCATATTTCAATTGAGATACTGAATGCATGAACCAAATAAATTAAAAAGAAAAAAGAAAGTTACTATTTGTGGCTGAATGTCTGATGAAGTTTCAACGAGAAATAGAAAAACAAGGGACTTCTTATCATGTCAATTACCGTAAAAGAAATAGAAACTCATCATTGAGAGAAGAAGAGCATAGCTTAGACAATGAGACATGTAAAAGATGCCACCTTTAAAGAATTCAAGCATAAGTAAGAGCAAAGATGGTTGATATAGGCAAAGTCAGTAGTCTAACACATCTAGATCATATGCAGCCTATTTGGGAGATAAAACACATTCTCATAGGTGCTATGTTCCATAGGAATTTAGTCTTATCAGAAACTATACTTTGGAGGGCACAGAGTCGATTTTTGCAGGAACTTTTGTTTTCACGGTAGTTATTAATTTACTTTCTAATTTTTTCATGGGAAATTTCATTTTGTAGTCTTTTTAGGGCTGCATTATTTCAAGTAGGAGAATCTTATTTTCAGAGTGAGTTAACGTTAACCCAGGTAGGAAAGCTATTTACTCAGACATTTCTCTTTCTTACCAATACCAATGTAGGATGGACATAATATGGTGCCCTTACTGGTAGGGGATTGTATCCAACACTTCGTCTGAAGTTTAGGAAATGGCAGAGGTATTGACCTCACAAACTTAAAGAAGAGGATAGAGAAAAGGGTGCAAAGTCGGTATTGGAGTTGAAACAACTCTGCAGGCCCAATCTAGATATTGACTCTGATAGTGATATTATTGCTACTTCTTGTATCTTCCCTTTTCCCATGTGAAGTTTCCATCTGTACACCACTAAAAGAAATACAAACACATATTTACTTCTAACGAGAGTCACCAAGTAATGCAAGTTGGTTTTATGTCCTCCTATTTTCTTATTTACTTATAAATGAGCAAGCAACATACATTCCCTTGCCTGTATATTGAGTCTTTGATAGTGCCGGTGTATCCTAATTTTAAAAAACTATTAAATCTGACATTAAGAGCATACCCATACGTTACACGCATATCTCAATCCAAGTAATATAGAGGAAAAGGTTTAGGAGCTTATAAATAACTGCTTTATCGAAAGAAAATTTCCTGAAGGTCATTGTGGTGTTGAAAGTTTTATGATGCATCCAGCATCTCAGATGATACCTCAGGGTGTTAGTAGTAATGCCAAGGCTTTCTTTATTCTTTCTTGTTTTTCCAATGCAATTTACTACAGCTTTACACTAGTTTTTACCATCACCTACACACCATAATCCTTCATTAAGTTGTCAATTAAAGACACATAAACCCACCCTGTAAGATTCTCCAATCTTTCCTGGTAACCATCCTAGAGAGCCATGAACATGACCACTCATCTCAACTAGACAATTAAGTGATTTACAAACTATATTTCCTGGTAATACTTGCTCATATGCCAAAATCCTTTAAGAAACATATTCACCTCAAAGATGCAACAGGTTTGCAATCCATGACTGGCACCCATGTTATTGTTATTCACCCTCAACCATGAAATTCCTTAGCAAATCAAAGATTATCCAACCTTTCCCAATAGAAGCAAGAAAACAAAACAAGAATTTAGAAATATGTAAGCAGACCAGAAACAGTAATTTAGATGCAGGCAAGAATAATATCAATTCCTCAAACCAACTAATCAATCACGAAAAATTTTGATACTAGGAAAACTCCCAAGGATAACAAGAGGGGGTGGGGAGTACACTTGGCCATACAGACTCAATGATAACACAGGCAAACAAGAACAAAGCACAGGCTCCTACAAACTTGAATACAGAGTACTTCTCCGTTTAAGAGACTTGCAATGCACAACGAGGAAGTGATTCAAGATGCAGCTCTGGAATGCACACACTAGTATACCATCATTCATTACAAATGTCTAGTAAATGTACCTTCCAAGTTCAAAGTGACCAAAAAAAGGAAAAAGAATTGGAAAATGCTGTTTTGAATAAAATTTCAGAAGCTAAAGGAAGGCATGACACATACAGCAGACCATCCTTCGACATTTGTGCTCTTCAAAATCTGAACAGGCCTGTGGATACAAGGTAATGCAGTAAATAATAGTAGGGAAACAAAGAGCACATGTTCACAGTCAAATCAGTTAGCTAAAACACATTTCTGTAACTTACGTATCAACAGGGCAAAGCAACATACATTCATCTCCTTGAGCATTTCTGAAAACCCGCCTGATGACACACTCCAATGGGAAATTATTCGTGCAATCAACCTGTAATTTATTTCTTTAGAATGATCAATATCCAGAACCACAAAAGAGGAGGAAAAAAAAAGGGAAGATTAACACACACAAAACATAATTTTAGATCCCCCCAAAAAAAAAATCAGATAAAAGATCACAGATCAGAGGGAAACATGGTGCCTTGGAAAACAAAAACTAGAGTCCACCTTATGTACCCAATTGAAATGTGCTGAATAACCATTTCATGGTACCCACAAAACTTATCCCAAGTACACAGTCCCAAGAATGGGCACTATTCTTTATCATGAGTGGATTCTACACTTAAAGAATTTGCCATCAACCTATATAAGTCAAGAAAACAGTTCAAAATTGGACAGCGAAAAAAAACCAAGCTTCACACCTACTCTTATTGGAAAGAAATTACTGGAAAAAAAAAAAAAACAGAAGAAGCAAAAAAGAAGAATACAAAGAAAGACGAAGAGGTGGCGAGAGGAGAAACTACTGACAATTGTAGCAATCCGTTTGTTAGAAGCCAAGACAACTCTGCCTTGCTCATCCACTACGAACCCAGCCGGCGGTTTCGGGAGTGGTAAAGCCTGGTAACTGCCCTGTGACTCTTCCTCTTCGACAACTTCCAGATTGCTAACTCTTTTTCTACTAGTCTTCTCATTGCTGGGTTTCTTTTTCTTCTTTGAATTTGGAGCTGGAGGGCGTTTCTTCACCGGCCCACTCTGCGGCTTTGCCGCGGCGGTGGCAGCAGCAGAGTAAGCTAACTTAGACAGTGGGAGGAAATTCTTGTTCGAGTCAAGGATGGAAACAAAGTTGAATTGGGATTGAAAACATGAATGTGAAGAGTGTGTGAAGAGATTTGGAAGAGCTGTTGATGTTATTGAAATGGAGAAAGGCATTGTCTTCTGCAACGCCCACCAACTGTTTGTGAATTTGACTTCAACGTTTTGCTTTGTTTCTCTCAAGGAAGATGAAGATATACTTTGTTCTGTATAGGTAGTTTTGAATCGGGTTAATTGCAAAATGAGGTGCGGAAGTATTATTTATTTGTTATATATCCCCTACAGCTATTAGTTGCTGCATTTTAGTGCCTAATAAAGATCAATTAGTTGCACGCCATTCCAATCAATTAAAAATTCATTAGGAAGGTACTCTTTTTTTTCCGAAACGATATTAAAGATATATTGATCATCAACTAAACTTTACACTTGGAGCAAAAGCCCCTCATATCTATACAAAAAGTGTCCAATATCACAGAGGATTGATCCACTCCTCATCATGTATGATGCCTAAGGCATAAACACCAACTTTACTGCTAAGATGATTATCATTTTTAGATATAGCACAAAAAGAGCACACATAAAACAAAGCTTTCAAGCTAAGGATATCCTCAACTAAAGTATGCAGTTTGATATTTGATGCACTTCCAGAACAGATTTGCTGAAGTAGGTGTTTGTTGCAGTTCTGTATGATGACTTTTCTCCGGCCTTTGACTACTAACTTACTCATAGCTAACTTAATAGCCTCAGCTTCATCCAATAGTGGACAGTTGTAGCTTCTTTCATGTATAGTCCAAGCTGCCACAACAACACCTCCTTGAGTCATAGCAGTCACCCCTATGCCAACTGCTTTACTGTTCGAATTGCTTAGTGCAGCAATCTTAACTCGAATCACCTCCGCATTCTCCTTTTCTATCCTTTCCATTTGGTTAGCAGCTGTTTCTACTGTGCTCATCTTCTCCTTGTCTTTATCTGCTTCATAGAACTCCATTCACTCCTCCTGAGCTTTCTGTATTGTTGTCATTGTATGCCTTTGTTTGTTGTTGAATTCCCACTCATTTTTGCTTTTCCAAACTTGCCATAAGATGTTCACTGTTAGGCCAAGATGTTCATCACCATTCTGTCTAGCTCTAGCTCCTACAATTTCAGTCCACCAGGCCTTAAAACATCTTTGTTTATCCCTAGCACCCTCGCATTGTACTGGTGCTACATACCATATTTGCTTGGCCTGTCTGCAGTTCAGCAACGCGTGTTCCATAGTCTCCACCCCTTCACCACATGCTTTACAGATAGGATCTCCTTTGTTAGTCCTACTAAAGATTACTTCATTGACTGGGAGAGCATTGTTGATGCATTTCCACATGAAGATCTTCAGCTTATGTTTGATGTTCAGTTTCCATAGGCACGACCACGTCTGCTTTGCTGTTTTGTGTAAACTTGTACCAGCACCCTTATAGCCTTCCCTTTCCTGGATTTCCTTTTCTTTCATAAGTACCTTATATCCTGTGCTCACTGTATACTACCCCGTTGGGGAATGCATCCATAAGTTATTATCCTCCTTTTTTGCTTAGCTGATAGGAATGCTTAGGATTCTTTCTGCATCCACCCTATTAAAGGTTCTGAACACTACCACTCTATTCCACCTTTTCTGAGTGATTAGGTCCTGTACTTTTTGCACTTTGCATTCTGGAGGTTTGGGTGTTGTGGCCTTTCATCCTTGTTTCCTACTATCCACTTATCTTCCCAAATGTCTGTACTCAGGCCATTTCCAATTTTCCTCCAGATGCCATCCTCCACATGTTGTTTAGCTCCCATTAGACTCTGCCAGATCCAGGAAGCATTCTGGGGACACTTACACTTGAAAATGGAACTAGTAGGGTAGTATTTTGCTGTCAGTACCTTAGAGATAAGCAAGTTTGGGTCTACAGGTAATCTCCAAATCTGCTTACCAAGCAAAGCTCTGTTGAAATTGACCAAGTCTTTGAATCCAAGCCCTCCCTGGTTCTTGTTTTGAGTCATTCTCTTCCAAGAGCATAGGTGCATCTTGGCCTTTCCATTATTTTCTCCCCACCAATAGCTTGCCATCAGTGCACTGATCTCCTTACACATCTTCAGAGGTAGTTTAAAGTAGGACATAGCATAAGTTGGCATTGCTAAAGTCATTGCTTTTAACAGTACCTCCTTCCCTTCTTGACTCAGCAATCTTTGTGTCTAGCTTCCAAAATTCTTTTTAATGTTGTCTTTGATGAATCCAAAGATCTGGTCCTTTTTCCTTGTTATCACTATTGGGAGTCCTAGGTATTTGCCTTGGTTGACTATCTGGATATTCCCCAGTCTACAGCATACTTCAAGCTTCTTGCAATGGTCCATATTCTTGCTGAAGAAGACAGAAGACTTCTCCAGATTGATCAACTGTCCAGAACTCTTCTCATATGCCACCAGGATCCTCCTCAGCTCCTCAGCATGTTTGTTGTCTGCTTTACAGAATATTAATGAATCATCTGCAAAAAAATAGATGTGTTAGTCTAGGTCCATTTCTGCTGATTTTGAGTCCAGTGATTCTCTTTTCCTCTTCAGCTCTTTTCAGCAGATTTGAGAAGCTTTCTAAACACAGCAGGAATAGATAGGGTGAGAGAGGGTCACCCTGTCTTATTCCTCTTTCTAGAACTATATATTCCTTAGCCTCGCCATTAATGTTGAAAGAATAAGAGACTGATTCCACACATTTCATGATCCAACTAATCCACCTGACACTAAAACCCATTTTTTGCATCATAGCCCTCAAGAAATGCCACTCCACTCTATCGTAAACTTTAGACATATCTAGCTTAACAACCATGTACCCCTCCTTCCCTTGCCTTTTATTTTTCAGGAAATGCATGTATTCATGGGTTATGATAACATTGTCTCGAATCTGCCTATCAGGAATGAATGCAGATTGGGTTTTACTGATGCAGCTATTTAACACAACTTTAAGCCTATTAGCCAAGATTTTGGAAACAACTTTATAAAGCACATTACACAAGCTAATAGGCCTACAATGTTTCAGGTTGACAGGATCTTTAATTTTTGGGATGAGGGAGATTAAGGTATGATTCAGGGTTCTAGGCATGGAATTATAATGAAAGAAACTCTAGATGGCTTGGACAACATCATGTTTAACAATAGACCAAAATTTTTGGAAAAAAAATGGGGGTCATACCATCCATACCAGGAGCTGTATCAGGAGACATAGAGAAAATGGCAGTTCTGATTTCTTCTTCATCAACGCCTCTAGTCAGTTGATTATTCATGCTAGCCGTAATAGTGGATGGAATACCTCTAAGGATCTTCTCCGTAATACCATTCCAATTACTAGTGAAGAGCTGCCTATAGTAATCTGCTACTTCCTCACCTAACTCCTGCTCATTCTCAGTCCAAGATCCATCCTCTCTTTGCAGATTCAACATTCTATTTTTCCTTCTTCTTCCCTTCACCTGAGCATGAAAGAATTTAGTATTCTTATCCCCCTCCTTTATCCAGTTGAGTCTAGTTTTTTGGTGCCAATACATTTCTTCCTCCTTGTAGGCTTTCTTTAACTGCTCTTTCAGATCCACTATCTCTCTTCTAGTGCTTGTATGATTGTTAGACTGAATCTTCTCCAGTTGGCATTTGAGTTGACTGATTTTCTTTTTAGCATTGTAATTGGAGTTGTTTCTCCACTTTAATAATTCGATCCTGCAATTTCTGATTTTGCATTTGACCCTAAACATTGTTTATCCCTCACAATCTTTATCCCAAACATTTTTTATCACATCTTGGATACCTTTTCTCTTAAGCCATCTCTTGTCAAAATAAAATCTTTTTTTTTCTTTTTTTTTCATCTCTGGATTAGTATCTATCATCAACATGCTATGATCAGATGCAAAAGTGTCAACATGTGTGCATCTAATTTTGTCAAAAACTAATGACCAATCTGTACTGCACAAGCCTCTATCCAGTCTTTCTCTGACTTCTCCTATATCCTCCCAATTGTTGCTCCAGGTCCAAGGGTTCCCCTCAAAACTAATATCCACCATTTGGTTCTCATTTATGAAGTTGTTGAAATCAGAGAAACTCTTCTCTTCCCTCCATTTGCCTCCTCACTTTTCCTCATTTGAGAGGATATCATTGAAATCCCCTGCTATAATCCATTTCCCCCCCCCACAGCTTTTTCCTATCCTGCACTACCTTCCATTGGCTCTGCCTGATCAGATTATCACAGCTTGCATAGATATCAATGAACCATCATGTTGTCTTTGTCTCCATATCTTCCACATGGGTTTCTATGGTAAAAGCAGATTTCAGTATCTCTTTAACTTTTACTTTATCTTTCCATATCAAAGCTATGCCCCCAGATCTATTCATAGATTCCACTACACAGCTATGCTCAAAATTCAACTTCTCTCACACTCTATCCATGTATCTACTTCTATTTTTAGTTTCACTCAAGAATAGCATGCTTGGGGAGAAGAGGTTGGAAACCTCCCTCAGATGGGGAATTGTCAAGGTGCTCCCAACACCTTGGCAATTCCACACCAGAACCTTCATTGAGATTTGGTGGCCCATAGTAGGCTGGTCCCCTCTTTCTCTTTCTTCTGCGCATTATAACAAACCTCAAGACACCCTTTGTTTCTTTTACCCCCTACCTCCCTAACTTCTACATCTTCCATATCCTCATCACATAACTGAAACTTCCTTTTACCTTGTACTCCCAAATCTTTGGTATTGATGCATATTTTCTTCAGAGGTGTTCTTCTTTTTGAGGGGGATCTAAGCTGCTTCTTCAGCCTCCTATTCTATCTTGTAACAACTTCCTTCTTTTTATCCTCAACCATCAGGTCCATTAAGGTAACTTCAGTTAAACTAACCTCCATTATTCCTCCTTCCCCCTGGTTATCCTTATCTTTACCCTTTTCTTGCTCACTATCCTTTATATCTGCCTGGCTCACTTGTTGAGAAGACTCCTTCATTTCCACCCTGGCGTTCACCTCTTCCCTAACTGGGATCTCTCTTAATTTCCTTCCCTCTACCTTCTCAGACTCAATGTTCAGCTTGTATAGAGATGTTACAGTAGTTGCTTCCTTTTCCTGTCTATCCACCATATCTTTAGAAGCTGACCTTGGCTGACTAGACATATAACTGTCCTTTTTTTCTTGCTTAATACCCTGGTCATGTGTCTCCACTGCCTGACTTAGTGATCCTCCTTGACCTACGGATGGTACACTACTGCTCTGACCTGGGTCTTGCTGTTTTTGTTTCACCACTTCTACCCAGTTCCCACTCTGTAACCTCCAGTGATGCTTATCACTGGGTGCTCTCTTTGACCAGTGGTTCTTTTTGAGGTGAACTTCTTCCATTTCCAGCTCTGATCCACGTACCATACTGGCTTTCTAAGTGTCCTCTATCTATAAGGACTAGTCTCGTGCAATTTCTCTCACTGTGTCCCACAATTCTACAATTGTAGCAGAAATCTAGACACCTCTCATACTTGAAACTAACCCATTTTGACGAACCTTCCACCTTGACTATTGTCCCTCTTAGTAAGGGTTGGGATATATCAGCTACAACCAGTAGCTTAATATGTCTTCCTTCTTTGCTACCCGTCTGAGGGATGATAACCTCTTTTACTCGATTGAATACTACTCCAATTTTTCTTCCCACCTCCTTAGACATCCAGTGAATCGGAAGGTTCCAGACTTGTACCCATAAAGAGGCCTCATTAAAAGCACTTACATCCTCTTCAATCCCTTCATACCACCTGTTCAAGACTAGAATTTGACTATCCATAATCCATGGCCCTCCCTCTACAATCCTTTCCCTTTCTTGCTCCCCTAAATGAAGAACTGAAAGAAATTAGGGTCTAGTTCAACAACTTTGAGGTCTTTTGGATAGCTCCAAGCTGCTGTCACAAAACTCTTCACGCCAGTGTAGTTAACTATTTTTTCTCCTTTAAACTTCCCAAGCAGGCTCAACTGACATTCTTTCACCCCCAAGTTAATTTCAGCCCTGTCCAAATCAGCACCTCCTAGTTCCTTATTGGAGAGCGCAAATTTCCCTAGAATCTCAGCTAAGTCCTCAGCCATGGCGTCACCAAGGGATCCTTGCGTATTCCACCAACCACACTTGACTAACACTAAATCTCTAGCTGGAGCTGTATATGAAAGCAGAAAACACAAAAACAACCAGAGCCTAACAGTGTAGTGTAACAAAGAAGGAGAAAAAGCACAAAGTTTAATGGATATGCAAAAAAATTAAAATGCAAGGTAAGTCAGTTCCATCCTGTTAAAACCAATAAGACTAAAGCTTACTCTATCCATCAGAATCCAGACGCACACCTGGATCACTCCTACGATTCTTTCATCCTTCCAGCCAGCTGCAGAACTGGGGACCCAGAAGAATAACCAAATTCATAACGTAGATATCCTGCATGCTCCAAGACTCGCTACGTATTAAATAGGGAAAGGAGTTTGGTTTAGATTTGTGTTTTGATGCAAACACAGTTGTTTAGGATTTTGAAGATTTGGGATTTGAAGTTTGAAAGTTTGAAAAAGTTAGAACTTTTAGAAGCTCCTACCAAAAGGGAGAGTAGCTCTCAATGAAGAGAGAGAAAAGCTCTCAAAGAAGAGAGAGAACTCTTCAATGCTTTAGGAAGGTACTCAAATGACAAGATTTTGTTGTCAACATAATTGTTAACTAGATTTTAACCCATGCACTTGCACTGGTTGACATAGTTTATAGTAATTATGAAAAAATTTAATACTTATTAACTTATATAGCCTATGTGAGAATATGTGGAAATGTCAAACTTTCCAATTGAATTTAAATGTTGACATAGTGCTTCCTCATTAGACAGCTAGTGGTAGCCTCCAATTGATTCCAAATTGATGAAGTATCGTCTTGTGATTGGTCAATTGGTGGTAGTTCTCCTAGTTGTCTATGGAATTCATGATGTGGCAAATTTTGATTGGATGAGATGTAGTAGTTTTCTAATTGCAGGTGGGATGTGTTAGAATTTGGCCTCTCTTTTTTTTTTTTTGGCCCAACAAATCATGTTAACAAAAAATTTGGGCTCCTTTTTTGGGTTGTCCAACAAATCACATCTAATTACCAATTTTCACAATTAATTGTTAATAATTAATTAA